GGGGGGGTTTAGAGGCGTCTGCTCATAGTGAGGTGCAAAAGCAACACCAGGGAGCAGGGTGGAGATGAGAAACAACAAAACCGTTACTGATACTGAGGACCACACCAGCAAAGTTTGGATACCCAGGAGGAAGCTTAAGGCACTGGTGTGTATGTTTAAATGAGCGCACATAGTACACACTTAAAACGCACAGTCAACACTGGACCACACGAAGCAACACTCGAGTACAGAAATGGGGAAAAAGACATTTGTGTGTTTCAGTTAGAATTGAAACAAGTTTTATGTCATTACATTTTTTTTTTTAAATAATCCAAAAATCTATTTTTTTATTGTAATCCAACATTATAGCGTAATTTGATTTTAAAAAAATCTGTTACCTTTAATTAAATGATTAAACATTTAAAAACAAAATAAAAGCTTGATTTATGGCCCAGGAGGTTCATGTTAAATATCTTTTTCATGTATATGCTTATGATAATTAGACTTTTGGCTGAAATAATACACGTGCATAAGTATATATAATATTTTGACACTATATAAACTCAGTTTCCTCCCACATTAATGCTGACCTCACCCCGGATTACATGCACAAACGTTACGAATCATAATTCTCTATTCTCACACACTCCACTAAAAGTTTCCACTTCAGACAGTCACGAAACAGACCTACTGACGATTAATGAAAACATCTGAATTCATAATTTTCACTCCCGTGCGTGGGTCGTATGAGTAGTAATGAAGCTGTGGCCGCTTTCTTATCAGCCATTAGGATTAGAGATTAGCCCACACTGCCAAGCAATGTGGTGCACGGTCACCTTTGTTCATATGCACATGGAGACTCATCAGTAATTCATGAAATGTATGGGTGTGAGTGGGTAGATAGTGTTAGCGGATGTGTTCTGGGAGCCCGCCGAGGGGGTGAGGGGAGAGTAAAGGTGCGCTGAAGAGAAGTTTCCTTCATTTGCATCTGACACACTTCACTACTCTGCTATTCAGACAGTACAATCATTTTAATAACTGTCTGCCTTCCTCTGCCCTCCCCCCTCCTACTTCTGTTTCTACTGACAAGAAAGATGATGTATCTGCAGACAGATTTGCAGCACTTTCCGCACTTCTCTTTCCAACTGAGATATGAAAAAGTCCTCTGTGTGCAGGTACCGGGGTTCCTTTCTGAGTTTTTAAAACATCTGAAACTGACATTTCTTTTCTTCTAACTTTGCCGAGTGTTAGTTCATGTTGGATACTTGCATTTAAGTGTGATTTGAGTGAATTATCAACTTCCCTTTAATGTTTCAAACTCATAGAAAAATGGCTTTATACTTGAAAGCAAAATTCAAATGCGTTCATATTTGTTAAAAAATAAAAAAAATCATATTACATCAAACAAAGATGCTCTCCTGCAGTTTAAGCTTGGAAAAGAATGTAATGGAAACTCATTGACTTGGTGCTTTACATCTGAGCAGCGCCACTTTAAAGATAAAATGATGAAGTTACATTAATTCTTAATTTGATCAAAAGCATATATATATATATATATATATATTATTTTTGCAGGTGCTCAACTTCGACAAGCAGGAACTTTATTTGGTACGTGTTGAAAAGATGAACACACTTTATTTCCTCAACAGTTTGCATCTCTGTTTTTCTGTCTGGGCGTTGATGAACTACTTTCCACCTCAGTGTAAAAAGTTTCATCAGTCCTGCCTACATGTGTGTTTTTTTTTCTTCCCTTCACGCCGACGTTTAACAACTAACTGAGACTGTGGTTCGAACAGGTGAATACAAAGATTAACGGTATGAGAAATTATCAGATGTATCGATTATTAATAAATACGACCGCTAGAGTTTGCGTAGTGATTTCCTGTTTAAGCAGCGCTAAAGTGTTTTCACATACGGTTTGGGTTTTTGGCCCCGGACAAAAATTGCGTCTTAGTCAAAAGTCATTTTTTCCCTAAAATGTGTGTTTTAATATTGTATTAAACTTAAGACAGGCCTACAGAGGGATTATGTGAAGTTTACTGAGCGCGCACATCTGTTGCAACAGGTGCTGTAACAGGAGCATAACAAACTATTAAACAGGTTAGAATTAGAGTGAAATGCCTCGATAATTAGTAGGAAATCTTAGACATTACATTAGTTTTAAAATAAATCCAAGTGATTGTGAAATAATTGATCCATGTGTTCCCAAAAGAAAAAGAGACAGGAAAAAAGGAACATTCCACTACTTCTGTTAAAAGGCTAACTATTTAGTAACGAACGACACGGAAAAGTGAGAATAGTTTTCTGTATTTCCTAATTAAACGGTAGTCTGCTTTGTTAGTCCGCTACATGTTCTGCACCGGCGGAGAATAACGCGCACCAAACGGGATCTGATGCTGCGGCGCACCTGCACCGAAACTATAAGGAGTCTTTTCTTTTCTCTTTTTTTTCCAGTCAGGTGCCAAATGTTTCCTAAAACTCTTGAGAACAAGTTTAATTTAGAGGTGTCGCTCGAGCCTTCGAGGTCGGCGTGGAGCTGAAAAGCGCGGTGGAAGTCACTTTACCTGCTATTCCTTGAGTTTGCAGTATGAAGTTCTTCCAACTCTCCCCGGCTCCATGTGCAGAAGGTCGCAGCGCCGCAGCGGCCCCATGGAGCTGCGCCCTGAGTCCCTCCCCTCTCCACTGCACTTCCTCGTTCCAGCCCAACATGACTATGTCTCTGAGCTCGGCTGGGGCATTTTGCTCGCTTTTATCCACAGGCCGAATCTGCAGCGGGGAGTCGATCCGCCGAGCCCTTGGCACTTGCTTTGTGCCGTGCCAATAAAAGCCGACACCCAGTAGACCATTACTGGCAGCCATGCATGAGATGGGATGAGGCGCGCGAGGAGAGCGGACCATTCATTGTTTATTTATTTCATTCTCACCGAGGAAGCTGGGGGGGGGGGGGGGGGTTTCCTTACTTGCATATTGGACAGCTCCCCTTCTGTCACCTGTTCTGGCAGTCCATGAAATTAACACAAGTGTTTCCTTTCCCATATAAATTCTCTTGCTCTCTTTAATGTTTCATCCATTTGCTTTAGCTCTTTCTCTCCGGTTATGGCTGCCCTTAGAGTCAAAGCATTTGGTCTGTCCCGCCTCATCACATCAGCCAGATGTCACAACCTGAGTAACTCCTCTCTTTATTATTATTTTCAACATTTCACTCTTTGTTACTTTCTGTTTTGAGATGTGCGTCCTTGCAGAGTCACTGGCTCCGTCCCGCAGAAGTGCATAATGTTCACTGAAATGTGGTCTTCCCTCTGGTTCTGTGTGCAAACCAACGCTGAAGCCACTGGCTCTGCGAGTCCAAACCCATCGGGGACATTTCAGTTTCGGGTGAGCCCTGTGTGACCCTTGACCTTGTAGACGTTTTGCTGCAAAAGTAAATCACCTAAATTCAAAACTGCTGGAAAATGACTTTAAACTGAGATCCCCAACATTGAATGTAAATTAGTAAACCGTCACCACACTGTAAGCCTTTACTGCGTACAGCAGCACTTCTTAAAGATGTTTAATAACTACTTTCCAATTTTCTTATAATGGCAATCTAAATGTCCATCTCTTGCACAGACGCATAGCTAAAGCCACAGAGTGATGGGTGCCGATGTACTGCCTGAAACCTTTAAAATAAATATAAATTGTCAATTAATATTGATGGTAATTCTAAATAAATAATGAGCTGCACCTCTAAAATAACTCATTATTGTCTCACATTAATATCTGGCGATTTGTTTCTCTGCTGTAATTACTGTATAATTCAAATTACTGATGCACTCTATGCTTATACCATAGTTTTTCCCCTCTATGCTGATTAAGTTTGCAATAGTTTGTACTCAATGTACCAGAATAAACTGTGGTTATACTCTGTGAATTTGCCTTCCACTGTTTTCTGTGTTTGTGACTCCCCCACCCCCCCAGTATCCCACTGTCCCCAGTCCCCGCAGAGCACCCTTATCTCAGGAGAGGCCGTGTGTGTGTGTGCTGGATAGCTGAGTCACCTTTCGCAGGAGGCTGCCCTTATCTCCTAAGAAGCACAACATTCAGGCAGTTGGTTGCAAAAGGAGGAACTTTGGGCAGGAGCACTGTGGCCTACTGTGTCTTCACGGCCGCATCACGGATTGTAGCAACGCTCGCCGACTTCCTCACAGCCCGGCGCTGCATATCTCTATAAAAAAGGTCAGAGGCTGCATGCAGGTTTTTTGGACGCATGACGCAGGTGTGAAGAAAAAGCTGCAGGTCAGGACGAATAACTCCTCCGCACGGAGGAAATGCTGGGACTGAAATGTGACTCATGCTCTATCAGCGAACGCAGAGGGGTCCGATCATGACTGTGGTCTTCCATGCCCCGGAGATAATGTCCTGTCCCAGTGACACAGCAGCTTCACTCCTTCACATGCAGTCAAGATTTTAGAGAAGTTGCCGCAGAGGTGGGATCCAACACTCACCACTGGCTGAGTTGCTGATCATCCTCCTAACGTCTGCTTTCTACAAAACACAGATGGTATTATTCGAGTGGATATGCCGGCAAATTGATGGAAATTTCCACAGAGGGCTTCAAGGTTTCATATGATTACTAAATTCAAATCAAACTAAACACAGCCCTCTGCTGCTCCAGGTTAATCCACAACCTGAAGCAAGCCATGTTGCTGTAATTAATGTCATTACCTGGCAAGTCTCAAAACATCATCAGGCAATGTAGCCGCTCGACTACCGAACAATAGGCTCCGGCTGGTTCTTATTTCATGGATCTTTAAGCAGTATTCACTGTTTCACATTTGGAAGCACGGGCAGCATGTAACCCTTAATTGGTTTCAACACCTTAATAAGTCAAAGGCGTTCAAGACTGATAATCACATTAAATAGTCCAATTTATCTAAAAAGTCAATTGCAAAGTGAAAAACTCTCTTTCTTTAGGAATGCATTATGCTGCGAGGATGTCAGAGTAAATTAAATTCCCCTCTGCACACTAAAGCATCTATTTCCTTATGGTAATTATCTGCTGGAGTAGACGTGTCACTAGAAGGAGTCAGGCATGCTTGACATTTAGCCTTTTTATGGAGCGGCGATGAGTAAAAATTAAGATGAGGAAGAGGAAATTAATCTCCAGCCCAGGCAGGCATTGAGAGATCCTGGAGGATAGCGGCTGAATCAATCACGATGTTTGTGAGCCTGTTTTCAAAAGGAGCCAGTGATGAGATTCAGACCACAGGCTGGAAAATCTGAGAAGGAGGAGGAGGAGGAGGGCGCTTATAGCAAATAGAGTTGTGATTGCCATGAGGAGGTTTACGCCATTTTATTGTTTTTAAATACAACAGCAAACGTGCAAACTTGGGTGCGATGCCAAGTTTAAAGAAACAATTCGACATTTTGAGTAATGAAGTTTTGAAATGTAAAACAAGGCATCAAAAGGATAAAAAGTGTTTTGTTGAAAGTAGTGAGGAGTAGAAACGGGCCGCCCTGATTCATTGTTATTAGACAGAAACAAGTGTGTTCTGCAGGTAACAGCATTTCCTTGGAAGAAAAGGGAATGTTTGGAACATGAATTTCAGCATTATAATATGGTAGTTACCATTTTTGACTTCCAAGAATGGTCACGTGATTTTGAAGGTGTTACGCTGATAGCAGCATATAATATTGTGAAAACATCAGCCAGGAATACCTCGTTATTATCGAGTCGTTTTAACCCATTAATGTCACCGCATTACCTTATTGTTACCAAAATATAATGATTTTGCCTTGTTGCCATCTTTAAATGTTTCCCCATTATCATCCTTTGTTTGGGCCCTTTTTACCCTGTTATATACATTTCAGTCTAATATTACCCATTGCTAATACCAAGTAATTACCTGGTTATTTCTTTGGCAATTACACGGCATTACATAATTATTACCCAATTATTAACCACTATTATTACAGCGCTGTAATGTGAAGTGCTACCGAATGGTTTTCTGCTGCTGGGCAGATTTTGTTACCTTCACACCGAGCCAGGTTAGCCGTTTCCCTGATTCCAGTCTTTAAGCAAAGCCTCCCTAACTGTTTTCTGGCAGTAGCGTCATATAAAGCCCGCTGATACTGCTGTTACTATTTAAACATCTTCAAACGTCCTAAACAGGTGAAATAATGATCACTAATCAGTTTGAAAATGCTTAAGTTAACAGTAGCCGAGTCCGATCCGTCCATCACTTAACAAAGTGGTGAACATTGAATGCTGGCCTTCTCAGTCAAGTTTGTCCACCACATTAATTGGTGGTTACTAGACGTCAATCACCATCTGAGCTGTTTGCTGATATCAGGCCAAAAGGAAGAGTGCACGCTCTAGATTTACTGGATTCACTACAGTGCAAACAAAACGATCAATCTTAACAAATCTACAGTGTATGTTGGTATGATTTATAACTCTGAACTGAAGGGGTTGTTTCAAATCTTTTAAACATGAAGTGAATTGTTGTTCAGTAACACATTGCCATAAAGTGTTACAGTAATGTGATCACTATTTTTCAGTAAAGGGTAGTAGCCTATATGGGTTTGCAGTTGGAAATTCAGCTGCTACGTTTCAGTTATCAAACCCAGCGATGCGCCGTTACTTTGACTTTGGGGGTCGACTTGTGTGCGGTCTTACCAGGAGTTTGACGGAGGGTTGATATCAGTTCTGCACTCAGTCCAGGACATGTTAGCGTGACGCAGGGCCTGGAGGTACGGGGTATCAAAAGAGGGGTAAATGGGACTCCTGGTAACTCCAAAGTTATTGTATTTAAATGTGTGTTCTTAGCTGGCTTGCTAACATTGCCCATTAGCCTTGGGAGTCTTCTGGGTTTGTTCAGAGCTGGAAGGTGTGTGAGGCCCGTGGCCTCTAAACAAAGGCAGACTGCTAAAAACAATGTATTGTTTTTAATTACTACATATGGTAACCACAGAATATGTGTAGAGGATTTCCAGTTGTTTTATGCAGCTGTACTGAATAACAAATTTAAAAAAGTAACAAATAATGTTTATTATTTGTATTGTTGAGTAACTAGTTGAGTAATTGAATTACCTTTTCAATGCGTAATGAGTCATTTATTTTTTTGGACTAAAAAAAATGAACCCTGGTGATGACTAATAAAAGATGCTATTGAGCTGCATTGTGAGAAATGTAGGATCTGACACGTTTGGAGTCTGGACCATATCTAGACTAATCTGCTGCTTCAAATCTGACCCGTTTAAAAAAAAATCTTCTCTTGCGACTCCCCAAAACCTGTATTGAAGGACAATACTTAATCATTGAAGTGCCCCTTTAATGACAAGCTGTGTAAGGTAATTGAGATGTGGTTTAGAATTGCGATGCATCGGTGATCACGTGATCTTAAGCCCTCACAAAAATCACCAGCGTGTTCAAGTAGAAATCCTTGTGCAATGTAAATCTAAACAAAATATAGATGAAGAGAAACAGGAAAACCAGCTCATCCCTACTTCCTGTCTAAGTGAGAAGCTGCACAAACCACAGACATGAAGCTATAGCTGGCAGACACTTCATAATAATGTCAATTTGCATGACAGTCACATCTAGAGAAAAACTAACAGCTCAAATTATGTGTGCAGGGTAAACTGCAGACTGTATGTAATATGTACTTTCTGACCAAATTAGCTTGGGTTGATACTAAAATGGGACTCATAATGGATCTGTGATACCTGCCATTGTTTGTTTTTTTATACTGTTAAAAATGTAACATTAGCGCATAAAATCCTTACTTCCCTCAATATTTTCTGTTTGGTCCCTCTCTTTGCCCTTCATGAACCACAAAGTGTGTGGGCTCAAATACACACACACACACACACACACACACACACACACACACACACACACACACACACACACAATGAGCTAGTGAGCGAGTCAGTGAGAGAGCGAATGTTTAAGAGGACAATGCGAGAGCTCACTACCCGGAGTTAGAAAACCACTCATCTAAATCAGGGAAATTATGATAATGTGGCATCTCATTATTCTCCAACTCACTCCGAATCAGTCACTGACATCACATCATTATAGACGTATTCATACAAACAGATTGGATGGCATAAAAAGGGAAGCTGACACCTTCAAAACTTTCTCATCGGCTTTGTCTACTGCCTCCTCGCGTGCTTGCGTGTGACAGGAAGCGCAGGTCTCAGGAAGGGGTTGCAGGGGGTCACGGTGGTCACCATTCGAGACAGGGGCGCCGCATGGCCAAAGGTAGGGCTGTGGAGATATCACCATTTTAAGTCAGTAAATTATCATTTATTCTGGATCACGTAAAAATGAAACACCAAATAACTGAGACTGCTACAGGCTGATACTTAAATAATACCCATAGGCACTTGTGTAATGAGCGAGCTTTGGCAAGCAAAAATCCAGAGGTGGTCTGACCGTTGCTGCAGACAGTTAATCAATCCAAGTGCTTGTCTTTTTTTCTGTTTTGGGGAAAAAATATGGGAGGCCAGCCTAATCAGCAGAGGAAACAGATCTCAGGGGCTGTCGGGCACCAGGAAAATGGATCTAGGTTGTGAAAAACCACGATTACCACGAGCTGCTCTGGATTCAGCCATCTGGAGATGCCTGCTCCAAAAGCCGGTAAAGTTCGCTCAACTGGGGCCCAACTAGGAAACAGGTTTACGCCTCCTTAACAGACAGACAGCACTCCCAGAGCGGAGGGATGTTTGCTCTACACAGTGAGCTGTGCTAAAAGTACTCACATTCTTATTCATTGTACACTGACATTATCACTGTTAAGCTGACACTTTCTTTTTTTTTTTTTACATTTTCTGAAAGGAAATATTTTCCACTGCTCTTGATGCCATTGGATAAAATCGGAATGCTTGCTGTGAAGTCTCCTCTACGCAAGAATGTTATTTTGCCCTCAAATTAACCTTCTTGTCATTTTCAGGCCCAGTTTTCCAAGACTTCCAATTTCCTTCCTGTCTGTCTTCGGGAACGACATCCATTGTTTTTAATCACTGAACATTTTCAATTACTGTATCAACTGACCATTAACTTGTATCTCATTGGCCCACTCATCCAAAAAAAAGGAACACATGTAGCTGATGAAAATGGCAAAAGTGATGTCAGTCAAATACATACAGGCACAAGCTAAACATCTAACAATTCTGAATGAAATGCAAAAAATAAAAAATGGATCATTTATTATATTAACTAAATTAATTGTTTGTTTTGCATGCCCATCTGCAAATAAAACTGTAGGTATTACAAATATTTCTCATTTTAGGCTCAAAAACAAACAGATACCATGTATTTGTCTTCATTTGACTGAATTTGTTTCGTTATATGTGCCTCAGGTGATTCAGAATCAATATTCCTTGGTGAGGATTGTCAAGAAGGTTTTGCTCTTTATAAAACGACTACTTGGCTTAGTCCTTTAGCACTACATACTAATGAAATACTTGCTGAAAAATGTATCAAACACTTTAAATTATTCATTTACTAAGTACAACCCACTGCAGTCTTGGTATTAATGATGCTTAATCTGAGCTGTGTTTCATTCATAAATGAATAGCAGTAAAATATGAGCACATCTGTGTGGTGAAGTCAGACTGTAACCTGAGGCACGGTGTCAGTGGAGTGCATTAGATCGCCCTCCAGTGGATATTTCTGAGCATTCGTGTCCAATGTATTAAAATTAATGTGTATTGAGGATATGAGTCGAGCTGGGAGAAGAATTTTTTGTTTTGTTTTTACAGATTCATCAAATAATTGCGAGCAATGAATAAAGTAGTGTTTGCTTTGAGTCCTTGTCAGGTAATGGTTTATTTTGCTGCCTAAGGGGCCTCTTAAAAGTCACTGTGAAGACTCACCCGGAGGAGCCTACAGGACTGGAGACAGCTGGGACTGAGACTGCAGCATCAGCAGCAGAGTTTGCATAAGCAGCCTTGCCCGTATATCCGGGGATGGTGGTTCGCCTGGCACAAATCACAAGTTTACACATTATTTATCCGAATCTGTTACAGGAGAATGAACATCGCCATGTGAGAGGAATCTCAAAGGTATAAGCGGTTTTAGAATGTGCTTCAGTCATCCAGGGTGTAATAATAAAAAAAAACATGTCAAGCAAAATAAATGGCATGCTGAATTAATGGAGCTCTTGTGGTCCTCAGTGAATGTGAGTGTGTGTGTCTTACCGAGCTGTAGGCACGTATGGGGGCACGATGCTCCTCTTCAGGGTCAGAGGGTGAAAGTCTCCATCCATGTTGTCGATGTTGTGCATGTTCTCAGAGCCGATCGTACCACTGCACACACATAACAAAACACACGCACAACGGTCAGCTCCAGAGACACTGACAATCAATATTGTGAACTGAAATGTGTAAGACATCTGCGGTGACCTCATACTCACGTGTACAGAGGGATTTGACCTGACCTCGGACACCCACTGCAGCTGGAAGGAGGCGAGAGAGAGATGTTGCTTTAAAGCCAGTGATCATCGTTAGTTAATGCTCTTGAGACAGGAGAGACTGGTAGTTGGAAACTTACAATGTTACGGGCTTCCTGGAATCATTCCTCGATCGAAGCTGCTGCCTGTTCCACTCTGCTCCGATCGACTTGGAAAGGACAGTAACAGCAGGTCTTTTAGCAGAATGCATCAGACACCTTCATTAAGACACCGACACAGCCTCACTTCACCGTGTAAACACACACACACACACACACACACACACAGACATATATAGTTTGATAAACGGTGCATGCAGGATTTCATCAGCAGTAAATTATTATTACACGGATTTGAAGACGTTAAAGGATGAGTCTGGTTATGTTATAGACTTTTCTTATTTCTAATAAATAGAAAGACCAAAACCAACAATGTGTCCCTCTGTACTCTGGCACTTCTGGCTTCTTGGCTCTCAGCCCATTGTTCCCACTGAACATGTAAATCTTTAATATATTCAATATAAAGTCACAAATATATTGTTTAATTTGTGATTTCCTAAAATAGCTGGGCGATATGGCTTTTCACCAAACACCACTCAAACATTAGTAAATAAGGCATTTTTGGGGGGACTACTTTCAGCTGCGGATTAATACACATTTTCCCCTTTTTTTGGTGAGTAATGGCAGGAGGATGGTGTGAAGGGGACTCACTCAATATGACATACAGTGCCCATGGTCATTGTAATAAAAGAGCATATCACTCAGCGGCTCTTTGAAGTGTTTTTACAGTTTCTGAACATCTATGAAAGTCTATGGCACAGAGGAATAAGCTACAACAAGGTTGGAGTGCTTTGCTTTGCGAGTACCAAGAAGTTTTCCAGTGGGGTGCTACACAAATTGGGCCAATGCAGTGAAAAAAACAAAAAAACGGCACACATAACACAGAGAGAGGGCTGTGTTGTGTCCCAGTTGAGTGGGCCGACCAGCCCAGTGTGGTTCCTTTGTGGCTGTCAAGAAGAAGTTGAAATCGCATAAAATAACGACATCTAAGTCTATCAAAAATAATTAGTGGATGCATTCAGAGCTGCTGGTGAAAGCAGCCACAGCAGTGCCAATGACAGTGAGAGAGGAGGGCCAGAGCAACAGAGTGGATTCAAGAAAGCGGCTCACTGAGACCAGTAAAAACATGTCAAATTATTGATGGCAATAAGAAAAATGGAAAATATTACGAGACTTGTACTTTATCTGCCTGCTTCAGTTTCTATGCTGCATTTAACATTGTGGGCCAACAGGTTAAAAACTGACCAGAAAATGTGCTGCATTGTTTTAAAGGGCCAGTGTGTTTCATTTCAGGTGATCTATTGGCAGAAATGGAATATAATATTCATGTCTATGTTTAGTGAATAATGAAACTAAGAGTTGTTATTTTTTTGTTAGCATTGAGTGCCATACATATCTACAAAGTGAGCGGGTCTTCTTCGCGGAGTCCGCTATATTTCTACAGTAACCCAGAAGGGACAAACCAAACACTGGTTTTGCATCCGACTGCTCACGTTACCGCAGTATTGGAAAGGGAGACGTGAACGCAGAGGAATTCAGTTGGTTGCAGTCTGCAATCACACCGCTAGATGCCACCAAATCCTACATACTGTCCCTTTAAAGGTGGAGTCAGTGATTCTGGAGCAAGATTGTTGATATCTAAACTCAACACCCAAACAAATAAAACAAAAATGTACCGTCCCTCTCGCTCCCACTGCCTTTATCTTTTCAACATTCATGGCCTTCCCTATTGCTGATTGGTTGGAATAGCGTTGTGTTGCTCGGTGTGATTCTCATTTGCAGAGCCAGGGCTGTGTGAACGAACACACACACACACACACACACACACACACACACACACACACACACACA